GACACGGCTCGTTCTCAGGGATGAAAGTTAGAAGTGTTTATCGGTTATTAATGGGACAATTATCACATACACGACAGGTCCCCAAACGTCTACATCGACCTTATTGATATTTCGGTTGGGCTCTACTTATCACATATATATTTTTTTAATAGTAAAATCATCATTTTATTTCTATTTTTACACATATTTTTTAACCTTTTTTTGCAGGCAAACTATTTTCCTTGTAAACCCCGCTCCCGTAAGGCAATAGATATATCAGAACATCTAGAACATTTAAAATCAGTAAGAACAGATTTGAACCCTCCTGTTGTCCTTGGGTCAAAATTACATTAGATAAGCTAATCATAAGCATTAAGAAATTTTTTTTTTTTTAATTTAGGTTTAATTTTAATATAGTCAGCTAAAATTCCAGAGTCAATGGGCTGATTTTATTTCTATTTTTGTAGTTGATTTTTAATTCTAAAGTAGCTGTACCTTGCTACTTCTCTGCTTTTCATAAAGTAACGTTGAGAGCTTGACGAGCTGTTCTTAGTTAGTTAATCAGCTGTTTTTAGCCTTGTTAGCGAGCCTGCTGCATGCTGTATGAAGATGTTTCTCTATTGTTTTGGTCTACACGGTCTTGGTGGTGGGTCGGATTGTCAGTGTCGCTTCCAGAATATTTTTTCAAGACAAACTCAACACATAAAGCCGATAAATGAAAATGAGGTGGATAATTTTCATTTATCATGCGATTAATTGATTTATTGTTTATTGCGATAGGCCTACCGACTCAGACCTCTGATCTAGGACACCTTGAGGTCCCCCAGGAGGTTCTGGAAAGTGCTTCTGCGGAGAGGGAGTTCTGGGCGATTTGCGTCAGGCTTTTATTTTTATTTACTGGTTTCTCCATGAAGGTTCTGTAGATTTATGACGCGCATGGTTGCTGCTGTTCACCATGTGTCAAATTCTGCTCCGGCTGTTTTAAAAACATACATTAATTAAAAATCTCTCTAACCTCGATAACCAGTGTGTTCAGGCTTCTGTTTGTGTTGTGGCCCCATGACCCGGGTCATAACAGAAGTAAAACCATAAAATATTTTGGTTTTCTAGTGTCAGAAATTAAGTTTAATTAGGACCCATTTTGTGCACTCAGATTTAGTGTTTTACTGATTTAGAACATCAAGAAGTCATTGTAGAGTAATGGTTGTTGTAAGAAATTTTTTTTTTTTTAGGTCTGGAATGTTTAATGTGGATTCATGATTTTGTAAATCTGGTTGGAAAAAGCACAACACGCAGCTGCTGTCTTCAGTCGGAGCAGATCGCTACGAACACGTGTGCATGTTTCTGTTTGTGAGGAGCTCTGTGGTGTTTCCTGCCTTCTGAGGGAGCAAACCTCCTCTAATTGGGTTTAAAAGCGGAGGTCTGCCCGTCTGGATGAGTGTTCACGAGTCTGGAAGCGAACGAGGGTCGGCACAGGCAGGCTGCATGAAAGAACCGATTATTACCTGATGTGTTCAGGCAGGATGAGAGGAAAAAACGAGGCCTCGGCTGAAACGCAACAAAGTTTAAATCTTTGTCTTCACTACAAGCTTCATAACACCATCAGCACTCATCATACAATTTATTTATTCATCTACATAACTTTGTTTTAAAGTTGAAGAAGTTCTAAAACTCCAGTTTGACTAAATTTGCTCCTGTTGATCCGTTGCACATTGTTTGTGTGTGTTATTGGTTTTATTCGCTCTTCACACTTTCAGTGAGTGAGTAACATATGGGAGCAGAAAGGAACAAGTGTATTCATCACTCATAAATACTTCCGTCTCAGTAAACATGTAGTAAGAAACATTTACTGGAAGAATAGTAAACGGGACCAGCCTCAAACTGAGCATTTAGTGTAGTCGGAGGTTAAATGCATGCAGCGTGCGTACAGTGACATTGCTGTGGTGTGTTTAACTCAGCAGAGGTTTGTTTGTGGACTCTTATGGTCCCCCGTCACAGAGCGAAGAGGGGGAAATAATTCAATTCACTTTATTTTTATAGGTCCAAGTTCCAGAAGTTGTGTCAGGGCACTGTACAAAAACATTCACATACATTAAAAAAGCCAATTAGTAAAGTTATCTATCTGAGGAAGCAGCAGAATGTGTTGAATCTTTACTTTGTCGCAGTCAAGTCAAGTCAGATTTATTTATAAAGCACATTTAACACCACCACTTACACCTTCATCTGTTAGCCCTCTACTGTACATACTGTACATAATCTACTACCTACTGTTCATAAGTACTCAAATACTTATGTATATATTTTTCTTTTATATAGTTTGTTTATACCCCTTCATATTTATAACCTGTTCATAGTCTGTACATTCATAACCTGAATATATTTATACTTATAGCATATTCAAAACAACTTACTGTATATTGTAATATATATAATATTTTTTTTTGCTAAGCACTTCTGGATGGATGCAAACTGCATTTCGTTGCTTTGTACTTGTGACATGTGCAATGACAATAAAGTTGAATTCTAGTCTATTCTAAAACAGGAACCGTTACCAAAGTGCTCATCAAAAAGATCACATCATCAAATAAAAAAAAATAAAAAGATATAATTACAGAATCAGGAATAAAAACATAAAAACACAATCAGAAACAATGAAATACTGTATTAAATCAGACTCTGATAAACATCAGTGAAAACAGGTGTGTTTTCAGGAGAGATTTTAAAACGGGGACTGAAGTGGACTGTCTAATGTTGGGGGGCAGATTGTTCCAGAGTTCAGGGCCCATGACTGAAAACACCCGATCTCCTCTGAGCTTCAACCAAAAGCAGCTGATCAGATGATCTCAGCGCCCGAGAAGGAACATAAGGATGAAGTAGGTCAAGGCCATTAATGCACTTAAAGGTCAACGGGAGAATTTAAAAATCAATTCTGACACGTACCGGGAGCCAGTGAAGGGAGGACAAAACTGGTGAAATACGATCAAACCTACGAGTTCCTGTTAAGAGCCGAGCTGCTGCATTTTGGACGAACTGGAGACGTGAAAGGGAGACCTGACTGACCCGACATAAAGCACGTTACAGTACTCTATTCTGGTAGTAATGAAGGCATGGACTATTTTTTTCAAGGTCAGGTCTGGTCAACTCGGCCTTAAGTTTAGTTATCTGCCTTAACTGGAAGAGCAGAGTTAATCTGTTTATTAAACTTAAAGTCCGAGTCTAAAACTATCCTGAGATTCGTAAGAGACTGGTTTAGATGAGGCTGAAGGGAGTCCAGGTTTACAGGATCAGAGACGGCGGTAGAGTTAGGGCTAAACACAATGATCTCAGTTTTCTGATCATTAAAACAAGAAGTTCGTAGTCATCCCAAGTCTTGATGCTATCAAGACATTTTAGCAGAGGGTGTCAGAGTCTCCCATTCTGAGCAAGCACAAACGCAACAGTGGAAAGGAACAACTCCATTTTAACAAGAAGAAACCTCCAGCAGAACCAGGCTCAGGACGAGCATCTACCTGCTTCAACCTGCTGGAGTTTGAGAGGACAGGAAGGAGGAACAGACAAACACAGAATGACAGATGTCCTTCATGTGTCCATCTGTCTGTCTTGTGAGCGTTATAACTTAAAAAACAAGTGAGGTGCCGCCTTCTGTTTTGGTGTGTGGCTACATCTAGGTGAAAGAAAGCTACTCTCAAAAATGTGGTTGCCACGTGAAAATCCAAGATGGCTGCTGCTGTGTGTGTAAATTGGCCACCCCATCATTTGAGGAAACTATGCTTTCTAGTTTTTATATTGCTTAAAAGTATAGTTTTGTCAAATGATTGGAGTGGTCAAAGATTAATTATGTTGGCCAAGGCCACCAATGGCCACCCCCTCGTTCCTCCACTGCACCAGCTGGTGGATAAAACTGCTCGTCCACTCTCTAGGATCTGTCTCTATGCGCTGCCTTGGACAAGAAAAAAACCTCCCTCCTCATCTCACACTAAAAACATTTAGGCTTACTTCATTCTCTGTTCTATTCCAGTCCAGAAAAACACCCATGTTTAAAACTACAAACATTCACTATTACGTAAAACCCCCTCAGATATGGGGGACACCGGAGTGCCACTTGTTAGTTATAGTCAGACATTAAGTACACCGTGACTCAAACACCATTCAGGTGATTTTTGTGTGTCGTTCTGCAAAAAATCACTGACTGAGCTGCTTTTTAACTCTCCCCCCTGCCCCTGCCCTCCATGTTTGGAGTCATGTTGCGACTGAAGAAAAATAAACCACTCCAAGCTAAATTGGACTTTGGATATTGGAGTGGCTTCACTCCACCGGCATTTTGTTTGTTGCAGGATAAATTTCAGGATTGAACTTTGAACTGTCTTAAAACCAATGGTTCCCAACACAGGTCCTTGAGCAACACCGTCCTGCATGTTTTAGTTGTTTCCCTGCTTTGACACATCTGATTTAAATTAATGGGTGATTAACAGCTTTCTGCAGAACACGAGGAAGTAAATCACTGAATCAGGCATGTTGGAGCAAGAAAACAACAAAAACATGCAGGATGGTGTTCCTCAAGGATCTGTGTTGGGAACCACCAACGAGCTGGCCATTTGTTCTTATAGAAAAAACATTTACATCACTGTTTTAAAGAAGACTATAGGAGACTGTGCCTTCACGATATCTGCTCCCATCCTGTGAAATCACATAAAAACTGCTCATTCTTTAAAAAGTTTTAAACGCTTGTGTTTATTTTTCTGTCGTTTTCAACATTGGATTTTAAAAGTTTATAGTATTGATCTATTATCAGAATCAGATCAATTGGATTACCGTCTCTCTTTCTTCATCAATGGCTCTCTATTGTTGTTTTTTAATGGGATGCTATTTTTATTTATTTTGGTTCATTTTATTGTACGTATTGTTTTGCCTGTGTTTTATTAATAAACTAATATTTTGGGAACGTTTTATTTATTCAACTTCATGATAAAGAAATTAATTTTTATCCTGTGGTTGATTTTTATGAGTTGTCTGGTTTCCAGGTGGCTCTGCTGGGTTTGGACCTCCTCTCAGCCTTAGTGACCAGGTTACAGGACAGATTCAGGGCCCAAGTGGGAACGGGTAAGGTCCAATTTTACCGTTTTATTTTAAACAAAAACATCAAAGCTTTTTATTATTATCTGACCAATGTAAATACTGTTTAGTACCTCGTCTGCTTTAAAGCTCAATGACCTAATAACAAGCTTTCCTGTCCTTCATAATGTAATCATGACAGGTTTTTATATATTTTATGAGGATTTAAACATGTGATTTGCTGCCTGCATTTACAATATACAATTCATTTTATTTGTGAGAAACATGGAAGTTAAACACAAGTCGGTGTGTGAGAGTCATCTCAACAGATTGCTGTAAAGTCAGACGTTCCGTTTGTCTCCGTCAGTTCTGCCCAGCCTTATCGACCGTTTGGGGGACGCCAAAGACCAAGTTCGAGAACAAGACCAAACGTTGCTGCTAAAGATCATGGAGCAGGCTACCTCCCCACAGGTACCTCAGAGGGTTTTATTGGGCAAAGCGTCCGGTACGTTTCTGGAAGCATTCCAAACTGGACAGTGAATGCAGCACGGCTGGAGTTGATATTGCTTTAAATGAAGTGTATCTCCCTTCAGTGCAGGTTTCTGATGAATGTTTTCTCGTGTGTGTGGTGTTTCAGTACATGTGGGACCGAATGTTGGGAGGCTTCAAACATAAAAACAACCGAACCAGAGAAGGAGTGTGCCTTTGTCTCATCGCCACGTTGAACACGTGAGTGAAACACCCGCGTCCACTGACCCGGGTCTAAACTTGGAATGAAGACAGCTGAGATGTTTTATCCTAAATTATTATTTCTCCACTGATCCGGGTTCAGTTCATTGATGTGAGTTCCTCGTTAACCTGGATCTGTTCGAGGAATTAATTTTTACTTTTTTTTTTTTATTTTTTGCAAACTTTTGACACTCGTAGCAACTGAGAAGTTTCTCTAGTTTTTCTCCAGGAGAGAGAACTGTAGTTTATTAATTAATTCATCCACTTGTATTATTATATGTTTCAGATATGGAGCTCAAGGCCTGACGTTAAGTAAAATCGTTCCTCATGTGTGTAACCTCCTGGGTGACCCAACAGCTCAGGTAAATCTCTCGTCGTGGGGTTTAGGACCAGTTTCAGGCTTTTCTGTTTCGTTATCTTTATTTCACAGCGGCGTATTAAGACCACTCTTTTGTCCTCTTAATTATTTTATTTTTAGTTAATAATGTGTGGAAATGAACTTCCTTCATGTTCGTTCCATAAAAACACACGTTTACTGTAAATGTTCAGAGTAAACCTGGCTCCGTTGAGGAGCAGATGATGACATCCAGATGAAAGAAAACATCTTTAAAAACGATTTGTTTTTTGGCGGTCAGGTGCGAGACGGAGCCATGAGCTGCCTGGTGGAGATCTACAGACACGTGGGGGAGAGGGTGAGGCTGGACCTCAGCAAGAAAGGCCTTCCTCAGTCACGGTACGACAGCCGGAAACTTCTGGAAACACAAGAGTCCCGAGCATCGGTTGATTCTCTGTTCATGTGATGATGATCTGTTTGTGTTCAGGTCTCCCCCTGGTGGAGGCTTTACGAACTGCAGCTTTAACATCAAACTTTCTGGGTTTTATTGTGCTGCAGTGATTGCTATTAAACCTCTGAAGGCACTACATGATGAAACGAAGATAAACAAAAAACTAGAAAGATCTGAGAATGATCAAAAACATTTTTATTTTTATTTATTAAAAATAAATCCAAACTGTGAAGATGAATCTGGTTTTAGCTTCGGTCAGCTGTTAACTCGTAGGAATATTATTTTTAGGATGACCCCTTCCTATTTTATACCTCTTGAGTTATATTTTGTAAAAAAATATATATATATTTTTTAATCCAGCAGCTTTTAAAAGCCGTTCCATCAGGTGATGTAACCCCGCTGCTCAGAGAAATGTTTTTATCTCCTCAGGTTGAATGTAATCTTCAGCAGATTCGATGAAGTCCAAAGATCCGGGAACATGATCTCATCCTCTGGTTCAGGTGAGTCCCGGTTCTCTGACCCTCTCTGGTGAACAGACGTGCGAGACGTGGACGAGCTGGGTGTTAAAAAAACGAGGCGAACGTAAATGTTTTTTTAGAGCAGGGTGGATTTGGGACGATGTGTGGGTCTGGAGCTGCGCGGTGGCTGCTCGTCATGTGCTCCACGGGGAAATCTTCAGTTAAAAAGCAGCTTTCTTTGCTCAGAGCCTCGTCTTCATCACAAGTCCTTCAGCCAGCTTTGACTCTGTGTTTCTAATGAGCGGCTGTCGCTCCGTGTTTCATGTGTTGATGTGAAATCATGTAAAGGCAGGAGGTGGGGAGGTACAGTCAGGCAGCGGGCGATATGCATTCCTTTAAGAAAAGTTATTTTAAGATTTTTATGAGCTGACATGAGAAATGTTTGTTTGCATACTGAGAGTCCTTCTCTAGTTCTCCAAGCACCAACAGATAACCTCGCGATAGGTCTTTAAAATCCTCGGAGGGCGATATGCATTTCTCTAAGAAATGCAACTTTCTGAGACGAAGAAGTGACATCAGTTTTAGGGTTGGGCGAGAAAAGTTTTTAATTTTTCGGCTTCTTTATTTTTTGATCTTACTGTATTTTTTGGCCGATAAGTCACAGTTTTTTGCATAATTTACATACCCTGCGACTTATACACAAAGCAACATATTTATGGATTGTTCCCATTTTTCTAAACCAATTTTCGGCTGAGATACGACTGTTTTCATTCATTCTGACTGAAAATGTTGAACACTACCGTTTTCAGTCGCTAGAAGCCACTCGAGTTGTATGGCATGTGTCATGTAATAGGTAAAGTGGCTATTAATGACACAATCGGCTTGCCATATCCTGCCACCTTCGTCCAGCTCGCCTGAAGCAACCGTCAAATCAGCTTCATTTCACTGCGCCGCCCCGGAGAAATGCAGCTGATTTGATCACTGAAGTGCATTTTTTAAGTAAAAGTTCAACTGAGACACACATTTGCTATAATGTCGAGCAAACAAACAATTGTTTTAGGTGCTTATCTTGTTAAATTTTGAAGAAATGCGCAGCGTTCCTCCTTCCTGATTTACTCGCTCTGCGCGCTTCCAGAGCACCGAGGCAGCGAATACTTTGCAAAATGCAGCTGATGTGACCGTCAAAGTGCATTTATTAAGGAAAACTTAGACTGAGACACATCTTTACTATAATTTTGATCAAACAAATCATTGTCTTTAAGTGTCAGTCTTGTTAAAGTCCTCCCGTGCACGCTCCTGCGGTTGCCATTTGGCAGCCAATTGATTTTTGTCACACCGGCCCACATTTCCGGGTTGTCAGCGGTGACGCATAATAGATGCGACGTATACGGCGAAGCGACATATTTATGAATTTTTTCCTCGTTATTAGACAAATATGGACTGATATGACTTATAGGGTGGTGTGACATGTACGGTGGAAAATATGGTAATTGTCCATCTTGTTCTCTTAAAATGATACCCGAGTCCATATTTTTAGATTTACTCGCATTATGAAGTTGTTTTAATCAACATTTGTTTTTATTTATTTATGAAGCTGCGTCGGATAATGCAGACGGACTTGATTTTTACTAGAAAGAATATTTCTCCCAAAATAATTTTTAAAAAGTCGCTTATCATCTTCAGTTTTGGTGATGATGAAATTAGTTTTTGCTGATTTAAACAAATAAATTGTTCATTTCTTTTCTGAGTAATAAATAAACAGTGGCGTAAGATGGCGGACTGACACCTGACAGGAAGTCAGAGGCTGATTAAAGATTCTTTTTATTTTTCCATTCATTCAACCTTTATTTAGACAGGTTAGTCCCATTGAGCCTCGAGGACTCATTTACAAGAGAGACCTGATTTCAACAAAGAACGATGATTAAAGGGTCTTGTTCTAACGTTATAAAAACAGTTGTAAATATATATTTATATAGTGTTGCATCATTTTCAGCCCCTTTTTTGTTATCTGCATTTGGTGGCAGGTCAAACTGACAACGACCATGCAGAATAATGTAGTGTTTTAATTCCACAGCAGAGAAAGCGATGTAGCCTCTAAGTGGGTCTATGGGAAAAATATCGGTATTGGTATCAGTTATTGGCCAAAAATCCAATATCGTGCATCCCTAGTTTATTTACTTATGGAAACAGGAAGTGTCTGAAAACAACAGAAGTCTTACACTTTGGGTTTATTTAAGCTCACATCTGCAGATTAAAGTGAATTATTTATATTAAGTGCAAACCCACGTTTCAGAACTGAGTCTGCTGTAGTAACCAAGTCAAACTGCACCGTTTGATTTGGTTCACGACCTTTTCACGTGTTTGGTTTCATTAATTTAAACTCGGGTGGATCAGGGTGTGTTGGGGATTGTTTTGCTTCTGAGATATAAATTGACTTCCGAGCTCTGAAAAGGTTAAATGTTGGCCCTGAAGATCAGCTGAGGAAGAGCTGCGTTATGTTACGGCTCGAGTCCACCGTTTGCCTGTTTGAGTAGATTTTTATGTTGAGTCTGTGCATATTGTTGTCACTTAGTGCTGCATCTCTTCCTACTGGAGTTATGGCCCTGAGCTGCGACAGCACACGTCTTATGGTTTATTTATCACATGGTGAAAACTCTTTAATAAAAATCGTAGCCTTGATGTAAGCAGGTTTTAGATAAATGTATTTTTATCCCTCTGGGCGTACATCGCTCCGCTTTGCGGTGCTCTTGCGTTTTTGGTGAAGGATGGAGGCGGTGGGAGGGTTTGGCAGCGGGGAGCGTTGGGAGGGAGGGGGGGGAGGGATGGATGCTTGGATGCAGAGCGGAGGGAGTGAGGACGAAGCAAGCGCATCTGCTGCAGCGTTGGAGGTAAACAGAGTTTCAGTGAACCGTCAGCTGTTTGCACCATGACGGCCGGTGAAGGTAAGACTGGAGACCAGATCTTTTCTATGATCCACTTCCTGCTGGGTCGCCTTCTGCTGCGATCTGTGGAAGGACTCGCAGTCAAAGCTGTTGTTATTCTGTAGACAACGATCAGTTCCTTCGTTTTGTCTCAAGCTGCCATTCTGCAGTTTAGTCTTCTCCCTTCAGGAGCCATTTTTTCCTCCGTTAGAGATTAGATGAAGGTTTCCTTCCTGCAGTGTTTGTTATGTAATCCATTGAGCCTCGTCGGTTTTGGAGAACTGGAGCTTCACTTTCCCAGGAGTCTGGATTTAGTTCAGTTTTCTGAGTTTTTATTAGATGACGTTTGTTTCTGAAGCTCTCCCTCTGCTCTTCCTGCACTTGTCCAGCAGTTTGGTTTCATCTGGCTGCTGTTCTTTATTAGGAATATGTTGTAATCTGCAGCATTTTCAGATTATTGCTGAAATTCCCTGCTCTGCTAGTAAGCCCCGTTAGCTGCAGCTAAAAGGCCCAAATTAAACAAGTTTTAATCCAGATTGGACAATTAGCTGATGCAGATTACTGATCAGAGAAAATATTTACAAACATCTGAGGATTTATGGCTGTTTCATCGAACAGTTAGTTTTCTCCCTAAACATGATGGGGGGCGAGGGTGGGGGGACTTTTTCTTATCCAACAACGGTTTGAAAACCAGAACCTTCAAGAAAAGTTGAGTCATCTGTTTATTAAAGCTAAATCTGGGGATAAAATGCAAACATTTATTTAAAAAAATGAATTCAACAGTAAAATTTGCTTTACTTATTACGGTAATAATACTCGGGCCTTGAACTGTTTGCCTCTTTTTATGTTTCTGCCATTATTTTCAAATTTGACCCACTTACTGTAGTTCTGGAAACAACAACAACAAACCCACATCATTTGTGTCTCAAACCAGGATTAATGAGCTGTGCCTTTTAGTTTCAGCACATCATACAGCAGAGACCAAATCTGCAAAAACCTGCAAAAAATGTCCCCATAGGCATCAACCCAGTGTCCAAACCCTGTTCAACCTAGAGCGGCATTATTACTTTATTTCAAAAACGTTTTCGTCTCCATCAAGGTTCATGATCAATAATCCAGGTACAAAATCCAACATTCATTCAACCTTTATTTATACAGGTTAATCCCATTGGGCCTCGGGGACTCATTAACAAAGAGTGATTAAAGGACGCGTACAAATTGAGTTTTTTTTTTTTTTTTAACAAGTGAAAATAAAATGGTATTTAAAAGAAAATGTAACAAAAATACAGCGGTGCATAAAACTAAAAACAAGAACATGTCTGCATCGGTTTTTCACAGGAACTTAGATGTTTGAAGCCACAAGGTTGAGAGCTTCAGATCTTTTTGCAAGATTCAAAGTTCATTCAGTTCATCTGGACGCTTTCGTTTTTTATTGAGAGACGTTTCGTCCTTCATCCAAAGGACTTCATCAATCTGAGGAGCCACAAACGAACTGTGGCTGCCTGGGAGGAGTCGACGGGGGAGAGGGCGGGCCTCAGAAACCATCTTATCTCCAGCAAACTAGGTAGCCCACTATGGGAGTGTGCTGCTTGTGGGACACGGTATGTTTGTGGCTCCTCAGATTGATGAAGGATGAAACGTCTCGACAATAAAAGAAACCGTCCATATGACCTGACTGAACTTTAATGTTTTTCTTCTGCAGTTTCTTCGTCCAGTTGTAGGCATTTGTCTCCTTCCTCCCAGTGTCTCTCTGCCATCGGACTGATGGTGATCTTAAATATCTCCAGAGGTCAGAGGTCACACACCCAAACCCTCATTGACTTCCATTTTGTCTGAACTTTGTATTCTCTCTTCAAAACAGAAGCCGGAGGGTCTTCTTAGTTGATCTAATCTTCTCCAAAAACACTAGAAATATAAAAACTGGCCTGTCTGCCTGTTTTATTAGACGTGCTGTCAGGAGGTGAGAAACAGGTTAATGGTGCTCATGTGGTCACAGGATTAAAACCACTGAGGCCTGCAGCTGCAGAAACCCTGAGTATTGGTGGATTGTTGGGGCGGCAGTGACTTCTTCTGTCAACACTCAAAGTTTTTGTGTTTTGTCGTTGTCCAGTGTGTGTGTGTGTGTGTGTGTGAGTGTGTGTGTGAAGCTGGAGGACACTTTGATGTCCTCAGTGTTACATAAACACTGCAGGCGCTGCAGTTGTGTCCGTTCCTTCATATCCAGCTGCAAACGGGTCACCCAGTTTGGCTTCAAACACCCGGCGGTTACAGATGAAGATGTGGAAACGCTGAGCGTCGGTGAGGAGGATGAAGGCCGTTCCTGACTCTTCCTCACAGATCCACGTACAGAACGAAGGTGCGGCTTTGCCGGGAGCTTATCGCGCCTCTCCTGCGTGGGCGGGATTAAATTCTGAACAAAACCCTGTTCTATAAATACAAATTATTATCATTCTGAGGATTTTGTGCTTTCAGACTCTAAACTTGTTGGAGCTCTTCAGTTTGGAGGCGACTGCGTTTTTACCGACTTGTTGCTCCGCACTGTGCAGAACTCCTGATCCAGCTCAGCTTTTACAGGAAGGTCTGGATCGGTGGTCTCGTGTAGAACTGAGTCCACTTGTTTGAGGTTTTGTTAAAGTTGAGACTGAATGAATTTAGTAGCATTAATTGTTCTGAAGACTAAGATGGTTTGACTGGGTTCGTGCTGAAGGGCAACTTGAAGCTGGTGTTCTGTAAACCAAGTTGCAGCAATATTTGGAGTGAGCCCAAGTACCATCTCCACCTCGAAGCCCCAGTTTCATTTAATGGATGATGTCGGAGATAGGATGGGGTGTGGACATCCCACAAAATGAGATTCTGCAACCAGTGGCAGCCCCTTATCTCCACCATCTGGGACCAAACTCTGTTCTACAAGATGACAAAGCTCACCCCTAACAGAGCGAGGTTTACCAGAGACTCTCCAGAGTTGAGGGTGAAGACGATGGACCGACCAGTCTGGAGGTCTGAGCTCGTTGAACACCTAGTTTGGGTGAGCCGTTAGTTCTCGTCTGACCAACACAACCACACTGTGAGTTGCAACAGATGTTGGTAGATGAATGAGATGTTGTCTCACAGCGACGTGTGACCAAGATGAGGAGGAGGAGCCAAGCTGTTGTGGCTGTGTGTGGTTCTTCCACATGCCACTGAGGCACCTGCTTGTTAAATAAATTGGCTCCTTCTAAGATTAAGTAAACTTTTCAACAGTATGAGATTTATTTCCAAGAACCACTGTTACAACACAGAAATAGTCAACCGAAGACAAATGTACCTGATCCTTACTATTTATTTGTTGCACAGCCAGCAGCATAAAACCATTTTCCTTACTTTTCATGATTTGCTTAGAATGTAAATGTGGCTGAACTCATATTTCAAATCAAACAAATTAGTTTCAGTACTTCACATGTAGTGTTTTGTGAGTTGCTGTGAACTTTTGGAAGTGTATTACCCTTCAGTGAGATGCAACATGGGGTCAAATTTCAACATCATCTTTATCTTCCACACAGCACATTAACATCCAACAAATGTAGCTGTTTTTATCCGTCAACGAGAGGTTCAATGACTCCAAGCAGAAGGAACGGAGACACAGAGGAGTCCTGTGTCTGGTCAGTCTGGTATAAAAGACCCCCTTTAACCCACCAAATAGACTAACTCACTCATTTATGTTGGCAGGGAGCAGCAGGAAGACAATCCTGACATTCACCACGCTGACCTACTTCTCTCTCATTATTTCTGCTTTCCTTTGTCGCAGGAAACGTTCCCCAAACCCAAACACAGAGTTTCATCTTCACACTGACAAACAAACCCCGAGCAGCGTTCATCTGCAGCTCCTCATCCTCCAGATGAACAAAAGACCTTTGGTTTCTCCGATGATGTTTTGGTTTCTGTAATCGATGTCGGATGATGCAGATAACCCAGATCTAAACTGAAAAAGAAACAAAACCTCGTCATTCATTCAAATGACTTCACGTTTAGCTCAGTCCTCAAACATGTTTCATTCCGACACTGAAAATGGTTCTGAACAAATTTATTTTTCTCATTGATGCAGCTTTGGCCTGAATCTGATCTGGTGTTTAAAATAAAAAAATAAACTAGAGAAATTGCATTTCCTGCAAACATGCAGTGTGAATGCTTATCACAGAAGAACTTGCTAAAAAAAACATGCTGAAATGTAGCTAAAATGTAAGAACAAGCTTAAATTAGCTAAATAAAGCAGTAAGAACGCATATTTGTATTAATATTTTAATATTCGGAAATTAGCAGAAAATTTGGAAAGTAGCTAAAAAAGCTGAAATCAGAAAAAAAAAATGGCTGAAAAGTAGCTGGAAGGCAGGAAGAACTTTAAACTACCAGAAGGAAGCAAAAAGAGATGAAATGAGCTAAAAATGTGGAATTAGTTGAAAAAGCTAAACTTAGCATAAAACAGCTACAGGTAATTAGTAGAAGAAATAGCAAAAAAAAAATTGAATAATTAAGCTGAAAGGAGCATAACAAGCTGAAATCAGCAGAAAGAAATTGGAAGAGGCACAAAAATGTTTAGCTAGCAGAAAGAATCTGAAAGGAGCACAAAACAGCTGAAGGAAGCTGAAAGAAGCTGAAGCAGAACAAAATGTGAAAGGAGCAGTAAAAGGTTGTAAACACATCTAAAGATCTGAAGGAAAAAATGGCAGAAAAGGCCTAAATATTTCAAAAAGCTAAAGTTGCACTAATACCAAAAGTCACAGCAGGATTGTCCTGAAAGAGCTGAACCTTTTGATGATTTGTTGAAATAACTTGAAAGCTGCGGGACGAGAATCCTGCTGAAAAACGTACGTAAGAAAAATGGATCCCAATCGAGTGAATGCTTCATAAACATTTATAATATTAAGTTTTCACTTTTTTTCAAAGTCAAATATTCTTTCTTTGTCATACACACCGCATGTGGCACATGTGGTGGAACAAAACTGTGTACACAGGGTCCCAGTTACATCCAACAAAAGTATAAAATGTAAAAGACAAACAATAAAATCTAAGATGTGAACTAAGAAAAGCGTTAAACTAAAAGCGCACTAAGCACCAGTAGCTGTTTTTACTCCTTTGTTTTTCTGGGAGATGTTTTTGTTTGGGTTCGGGTGTGGTCATGAAGTGTGAGCCATGACATTTCTCAGAAAGGTGGAGGTGGTGTCGGAGCTTCTGATTCTCCACAGTGAGAGGTTTTATCTGCACGTCTTTGTGTGGATTTAAGTTCATCTGGTGTGCAGATAATTCTGTCTATGACTCTGTGATCGATGCTTCTAAAGTGGCAACAATGTTTTCTGTTCAAACCTTTTCTTCGTGGTAAACTTTAATCACGTCCGTTTTAGCTGATCTTTTCATTTTTTATCATTTCACAATAACTCCACAAGTTTTAAAACGTTTTCTCCCCGGATTCAGTTAGAAATAGTTTGAGAAATAGCAGAGAGAGATTCTTCACAAGTGGAAAACGTTTCAGACAGCTGACAGTCTTCACAGCGGATTCACCCTGAAGGTCAGACCGTGCAGTGACTCGACAGGCCTCAGTCAGCAGGTCAATGGTCATGACGTCTTCGCTCTATAAACATGGCAGCTCGACTTAGGTTTGGAAGGTTTCATCTGAAGGAACCACAAAACTTCTGGACCAGAACCAGACCAGAGGACAGATGTTGACCCAGAATGCACTGCAGCAAACGGCTCCTCCCAGCTGTCAGCACGGTGGTGGAGGCTGATGCTTTGAGCTCCTGTCAGACCAAAGGGTTCTGGAGTCCAATGAGAGTCCATCTGTCCAACATCTGAAGCTTGAATCAAACTGGGTCCAACAGGATCGTGAGCAGCTGATCTACAACAGAACGGGTCAGAAAGAACAGAACCAAGGTCCAGTCAGAGTCCAAAACCTCAACCTGACTGAAATGCTGTGGTGGACCTTCAGAGAGCTGAGGAGAAACCTACATTTGAAAGAAGAGTGGTCCAGAACTCCTCCACAACCATCTGAGGCTGATCCAGAAAACCACTGAAGGTTCTGCTGGAACCAGTTGTTAATTATCTTTTTTTTACTAGTGCCCATAATATTGTGCATTTTTCAGAAGCTCATTTGTGTTTTTTTTGTTTTTTTGGTCCCTCTTTAGTAAATAAACCCTGATAAAATATCTGTTGTGATCATCGGTTCAGTTATGACGTCATCGTTCCCAGTAAAAACTGGACAGGTGACCTCACAGCAACAGACTCCGCCCACTTCTCATCAGGAGTAGTTCATCACAGCACACACTGGTTTATCGCTCCATACACTCAGAAGAGATTTGAGCTTTGACTTGTTTGTGTCAGACACACACACACGCACACGCACATGCACATGCACGCCCTGTTAGGTGGTGCTGTGAGGCTCGGAGGAGAGCGGCGCAGCAGAGACATGCTGAGGACGCTGATGTGCAGGAGAATCTGCCCTCGTAAGAACAAAGCTTCTTCCTCCTCATTCATTTCACCTCTCCACCTTCTATCCTGTTGCTTGTACTCCATCTTTCTTTCTTCTGTAGCCACGAAGGATATGTTCTTTGTTTGCTCTTATAAGCTGTTTAGTCCTAAATAGAAAACCTGACTAGAGGATCTGTGGGGTTTTAAATTAAATTTAATCTTTGGCCGAACTGAAGCTGGTAACGATGTTTTCACTGCCTGAAACCACCCGGTGAACCATCATGTTAGGCAGGTGGTGGCAGGGTTATGTGTTCGAACCAGGGTAAGCGTGATGGATGGATGAAGGCTGAATCTGACGTTCATTTCCTCAGAGATGACTCGGTGAAAAGACGATGACTCTGCATTTAAATTCAGACAGGAACACGAACCACCAAGAACCAAACGAGGACTCACGTTCACCACGTTCAGCCTCTTCATTTCCGCTTCTCTCTTTGTAGATAAAAACTTTGAGGATGAGGACTCAGTGGATGGAGGCAGGTCCTCCTCCTCCTCCTCCTCCAAAGCTCCCCCTGGTGGAAGGAGGCCTGTGGTGAGCTCTGTCAGGAGACCCAGCTCTGCCTCCTCCACAAAGTCCACAGGTGAGGGGGCAGATGATTTTGTTTATTACAAAAACTTTAGCCGTTACAGACTAAACCAGAATCACAACCTTTACCTTCGGCAGGTAAAGAAGCAGGAGCTGGAGCCGTGGACGAAGAGGACTTCATTAAAGCCTTTGAAGACGTGCCCTCAGTCCAGGTGGGTTCACCTGCCATGTTTAGGTGGATAAAGCTGCTGACCTTCCTCCATCACTGGGCTCAGGGGTTGTTTCTTTGTCCTTGTGTAGATCTACTCTAACAGAGAGCTGGAGGACCAGCTGACAAAGCTCAGAGAAGTTCTGTCCGATGATAAACACGACTGGGAGCACCGGGTGGTCGCTGTAAGACTTTTATCTTCATGTTGAAGTCGTTCTACCAGTCGCTGCATCTAAAGAATCGTTTCTTCTGTGTCCAGCTGAAAAAGGTCCGTTCGCTCATGCTGGCCGGAGCTACCGATTATGAAGGTTTCCCTCAGCAGCTGCGACTCCTGGAGGCCGCCTTCAAGATGTCAGCTAAAGACCTGCGGTCTCAGGTGGTCCGGGAGGCCTGCATCACTCTGGGGTGAGACCAGGACGCAGGTTCAGAAATCTGACCCAGGATTTAGGTTTTTCTGTTGAACTCGGACTCGTTCAATAAAACTTTAAAGGAACATTTCTGTAACATTAACCGTACGTGTATCCATTTACAGTTTAGAGTCAAAACCATGAAAAAAGAGCCCGTTTTAAAAATGTAGAACTTTAAACCATCTTTTCTTTCTGCGTTTATTCTGTGAATTCTTAATTATACTGTGTAATGTTTAGCATATGGTTTGCTCATTTTAATTAATGTTGTCATTTCAGCTTCTGTTCTGCTACTTTAGCTATGATTCTGCTGCTTCTAACATGTTTTATGGCTTTGTGCTTGTAGCTTGCATTTTGCTGATTTTAGCTTCTGTTTTGCTGATTTAGTCCCTGCTTAGTTTAGTTTCTGTTTAGCTGATTTAGCTTCTGTTTTGCTGGTTTAAGCTTCTGTTTTGCTGATTTAGCCCCTGCTTAGCTGTTTTTAGTTTCTGTTTAGCTGATTTAGCTTCTGTATTGCTGCTTTTTGCTTCATTTTTGCTGGTATTCTGATTCTGATTTTTGCTGGTTTAAGCTTCATTTTAGCTGATTTTAGTGTGTTTTGCTGATTTAACACTTTGTTATGCTGATTTTAGCCCCTTCTTAGCTGGTTTTAGCTTCTGTTTTGCTGATTTAGCCTATGGTTCGCTGATTTAAGCTTTTGTTTTGCTGATTCTAGCTTTAGTTTAGCTGATTTTACACTTTGTTTTGCTGATTTAATCCCTTGCTTAGCTGGTTTTAGCTTCTATTTTCTGGTTTTAGCTTCTGTTTTGCTGGTGTTAGCTTCTATTTTCCTGATTTTTAGACTGCGTAGCTGATTTTAGTATTTGCATAGTTAATCTTGGCCTCCCTTTTTGCTCATTTCACCCTCCATTTAGCTGATTTTAATCTCTTTTCTGTTATCTTTAGCCTCTGGTGGTCATTTTAATTGTAATAACCAAGTTTTAGCTTCTTCAGTAAATTTCAGCAGTCAGCATTTTTACTGTATCTTACAAAATGTAATTTCTTTAGTTTTCTTTTAAATGTGAACTCTGAGCACATAATGAAGTTCATTGACTCTAAATGTAGCTGAAAACCCCATAAAACATTAATATTTAGTAAGTTTTTCCTAATTTTTCAGACTCTGAGATGGTGTTTGTGTTTTAATGAGCAGAACTGACATTCACTTGGACCCAGAACTGATTAGTTTCTGCTTTAAAAACCCTCAGCCAAAGTAGTTTTTTCCCACCTCCTTAACTTAATGAGAATCAGTCTTCCTCAAGTATGAAACAAGCAAACATCCATCGTCCGGGTTCTAATAGAACCCTGATGAGGTGGAACAGAACAGAGGCGCGTTAAAGAGCAGGCGGGTGATGAATGGATCGGAGCGACACGGATCCTTTCATCAGCACCACTTCCTGCTCCATCCAACAAACTAAGAAACCAACGACTTAATTTTCATGGCAGCTTAATTTAATCAGAGACAGAACATCAAGTAAGAACATTAACGGATGCACACGATGTGTTCAGGGTCAAGAATGTTGTGATAAATATTTCAGTCGTTTTTTTTTTTTCATTCAACCTTTATTTATACAGGTTAGTCTCATGGAGCCAATTAAATGTTAAAGTATGATGAATAAATACCTCATCTATGGGTCCCTTGAATTAAATTGTCCAAAATATAATCCTAAAGAAAGTTTCAAAGCTTTTCTCTGAGTAGAACCAACTAAACTTGGTTTAAGGCAGAAAAACCTTAAATTTTCACAACTTTCTCTGAGTGCTAGCAAAGCTATTTTCTGGGAAATCCCGCTATATAACATGGTCTGATGTTTTCTCTTTCAAATGACGTCAAGAACTCTTCATTTAATTCTGCTAAAAATAAGATTCAGACTCATTTTTAAGAGTTATCCTGATTATCAAGACAAATTCAGCACTCCAGGCATCAGGTTGATCCAGGTGTGAAAATGTTGCTTAATCCTAGTTTAGTTTGACCAAGTCTGACTTAATCCTCAATTCAGCATGACGGGTCACATATTTCACTGGAATATAATCTGTGTTGTATTTCTGCCAGTAATCTAAGAAGGAATGGAATGGTGACTTTAGGCTCTATGTAATCAGGAATAACTGCTTTAAGGTATCATCTACATATTTCAGTAACTTTTTTTTACAGCTATAGTTGGAGTTTTCTCTGGCTACGTCCGAGGCTTGATTAAAACTCTGTGACCGTCTCTCCCTCTCTCAGACATTTGTCCTCGATACTGCGTAACAAGTTCGACCACGCGGCGGAGAGCGTCATGCCCATTCTGCTCAACCTGGTGCCCAACAGTGCCAAAGTCATGGCCACGTCAGGAGTGGCTGCCATCCGCCTCATTCTCAGGGTGAGACGGCGTTCAGGAGTGCTCTCGTGTTCACCAGCAGGTAATCGAGGAGAATAACCTTTGATGTTTCTGTGCTCCTCTTGCAGCACACGCACTACCCTCGTCTTATTCCCATCATCACCAGTAACTGCACCTCCAAATCTGTTGCCGTCAGACGGTAAGATGTTCCTGTTACTTGTTAGATTAAAATAAAGTTTTCAAGCAGTCGAGCTGAAAGATGTTCGAAGCAGACCGTCTATGCTTCCTGGCTGTACTGTGGTTTGGACCTGAACGTGTCCTCATGTTAGAGCAGGAGCGTCATCAAACATGTAGACGTTTAAGCTTCTGAAGAAGGAGCTGAGCTGAAAGGCAGAGCTGGATTTACTGGTCCAAAAACTATGGAGATAAATTAGTCTCAAAAACAGGGAAAGTTTTCTGTCCTGAGGAGTTACTGCAAACAAAATCAAGTCCAAGTGAAAACGTCCAAATAGTACCACTTACATTTTTATTTTGTGTTGTGTTTGTGAGGATGAAGGTTCTGCCTCCGACCTTCTCCTTCAGCGGTGGAGGTACTGAAGTGCTTCTTGTTTCCTCTCCAGGCGCAGTTACGAGTTCCTCGACCTCATGCTGCAGGAGTGGCACACAAACACATTGGAAAGGTACGCCTCGCTCGCTCTCTTGCTCTCTCTCTTGCTCTCTCTCTTTCGCTCTCTTTCTCTCGTTCTCACTCTGTCTTGCTCTCTCTTTCTCTTGCTCTCTTTCTCTCACTCTCACTCTCTTGCTCTCGCTCCCTCTCTTGCTCTTTCTTTCACTCTCACTCCCTCTTGCTCTCTCTCTTGCTCTTTCTCTCTCTCGCGCTCACATTCTCTCTCTCTCTCTCTCTCTCTCTTGCTCTTTCTCTCTCTCTCTCTCTCTCTTGCTCTTTCTCTCACTCACTCTCTCTCTCTCTCTTGCTCTCTCTCTTGCTCTTTCTCTCTCTCTCTCTCTCTCATGTGTTTCTGTGTTGAGACGTTCCAGGCGTCTCCTCCCTCCCCTCCCATCCTGACATTTGAATTAGCTGAGCGTTGAGCTCCTGATGACGCCCGTTTTAATTTATGAGCCTTCGTTGTCGAGACTCCCAGCCGTAAAGCGAATACCCGTCCCCCCGTTGCCATGACGACACAAGGACTGACTTTAAAAAGCGCGAGGACATCCCAGTGGGTGGCCACATTCCCTGCGGGACCAACAGAGTAATAAAACTGAGAAAGAAAAGGGGGGAATTAGACGAGGATAAAGTGGGTGATTAACGGACCTCCTCACCATGTTCCCGTATCGTCCCAGACACGTAGCGGTTCTGACCGAGACCATCAAGAAAGGGATCCACGACGCCGACTCCGAGGCCAGGTCCATCGCCAGGAAGTAAGTTGGTGTTGCATCAAGAAAATACTTTCAAACGCCAACTTCGGTACATTTTTAAAGCGTTCTTGTCTGTTTCGTTTCCTGTTGAAGGTGCTACTGGGGCTTCCACGGCCACTACAGCCGGGAGGCGGAGCTTCTATTTCAGGCGCTGGAATCCACCTATCAGAAGGCTCTGCAGTCGTACCTGAAGAGCTCGGACAGCGTCGTGTCACTGCCTCAGTCCGACCGCTCGTCTTCGTCCTCCCAGGAGAGTCTGAAGTAAGAAACTGGAAGCTTTGTCGCTTTAAATCACAGTTTTTCTCTCCTCTGTTTCTTTCCAACGTCTTAAAGCTTCATCTGCCAAACATCTGATGGAATACGATGAAACGTTGGTGGAAGAAGTGTGATTAGCAAGAGATGACTTTTTTATGAGAAGGGAACGCAGGATGAATGTCTTATGTTGATTATTTGTCTCAAATGAGCTTTGAAATCCATTCATCAGCTTAAAAAAGTCTCTTCCTGTTGGAGAATTTATTGCTTATATATTTTATATTGATTTACTTCACATAAAATGATGAAAACCTCTAAATTAAATCTTTCGATTTCAGCCGACCGATGTCTGTGAAGAGCGTCATTAGTGGGAGCATAACGAGGAGTGAGTTCTTGTTTTTTTGTTCCTTATCCAGCCAAGTCTTCAGTTCTGCTTTAAGTTTAAACCTTAAACACACCTCTGTGCAAAAGTCCTGATGCAGTCCTGTGTCCCTCCAAAATTTCCAGACTTTCTGAAGATCTTTCAGTTCTTTATTTGTATTTTTTATTTGGCTGCTTTTAGACTCGGTTTCAGTTCCTGTACCTGAAGCTTTTCAGATAAAACTCATCAGCCTGGAGGTTTTTGATTAATTTGATAAAGACATTTTGAGATACTGTTCGTGGAAACAGGCTTTTAGTTCTGAAACATCTTTTATTCTCTGCTGATCCTTTCCTCTTGTGTTTTAAAGGACTCTGCTCCCTTAACTGCGAGGTTTCGTCTGACTGAAGTGAAACTGAATAAAAAAGCAGCCAAAGTCCAAAACAAACTTAAAAAGCTTCAAAAAGTCTGAAGAACGTCTGATTAAAATGAAGGTTTACTTTAATCTGCTTTAGTTGTTTTTTTATTTTTCTCCCGATGATTCACTGTTGGCTTTTAAATATTACTTATAATATTAATAAAAATAGAGAAATGTTGTTTCCTGTGAAAACGCAGTGTAAATGCTTATTGCTGAAGGATTTCTGCTGAAAGCTGCCGAAAAAGTTGAAACGAGCCGAAACGGTTTCATCACTAAACTGTTAATAAGAGTTACGTTGAACAGCTGACGTGTGCTGAAAGCAGGAGAATAGAAGCATAAAATAGAAAAATAGAAGCTGAAAACAGACAAATAGAAGCTGAAAGCAGAAAAATAGAAACTGAAAGCAGGAAAATAGAAGCTGAAAGCAGAAAAATAGAAGCTGAAAGCAGGAAAATAGAAGCTGAAAGCAGTAAAATAGAAGCTGAAAGCAGGGAAATAGAAGCCGAAAGCAGGAAAATAGAAGCCGAAAGCAGGAAAATAGAAGCCGAGCTGCAGGAAAATAGAAGCTGAAAGCAGGAAAATAGAAGCCGAAAGCAGGAAAATAGAAGCCGAAAGCAGGAAAATAGAAGCCGAGCTGCAGGAAAATAGAAGCTGAAAGCAGGAAAATAGAAGCCGAAAGCAGGAAAATAGAAGCCGAAAGCAGGGAAATAGAAGCCGAGCTGCAGGAAAAACAGCAGGAATGTGCAGAATAAGCTGAACTAAGCAGCGTCTGAATTACAAAAAATCTGAAATTGGCAACTCAACTGAAATGGGTATAAAAATGCTACATAATTTAAAAACATTAGTTGAATAAGCTGAAATTAACAGAAAAAGTAGGATTTATTAGAAAGAAGCACAAAAGGCAAAAATTAGCAAGAACAAAAGAAGCAAAACATACTTAAGATTTAGCTGAAAATGCAGAATTCAGCAGAAAGAAGCTGAAAAGAGCTAACAGAAGCTGAAATTTGTCTCCAGAAACAGCTGAAGCAGTAGAAAAACTGGAATTAGCTGTAAAACATTTTAAACTGCACAAAAGTTTGACAGATTATTTTTTCCCTTGTCTTGTTCAGCGTTGTGACACTTAGAATTATTGTCTGAGTGTCAAAGTGATGCCCACCAGATTTAAGGTTTGACAGATTTGAAAAGATCTCCAGTCACTTTCTACAAGAAAAACATGGCTGATACAGCTATATATTGAAAAAAATAAAAATAATCCACGAATTCTGAAAGTCCCAGCAGGAAGGTCCTGAATAAGCCGAACGTTTTGAGGCATGATTTGTTGAAATAAAACAAAAATTCCAGAACGAGTTGCGTGCTGAAATTGATATCTGAGCGAGAATGATTTAGAAACGATAAACTGATCGAACGTTTAAAAACATATTTTTGCGTTCAGCTCCCGGTAAGCTGGCGGGCTCCAGGGTCCCCACCACGCCAGGCTCGCTCCAGCGTTCCCGCAGCGACATCGATGTGAACGCCGCCTCCAGCGCCAAGTCTCGTCTGTCCACCGTCCCCGCCTCCTCGCCGTTCAGCTCTGCAGCCACCCTCCCCCCGGGATCGTACGCCTCGTTGGGTGAGTCTCCAGCTGATGGAAACACATTAATCTTGACCAACAGACTCACTTCAAGGAGTTCCCAAAATCCTCAGTGTCTTTAGTTGTTTTCTGTATTTTTAAAATTCATAACTTCGTACTGAGCACTGAAAATCGCCTCTGCTCAGGGTCCTTTTACTAACTACGCCAGTCTAACTCTGGTTTCTTTTGTCAAAGTTTATTAATTTTTCTGGTTCAGTCAAGCGATCCTTCTTCTTCATGAAATATGAGAACATTTTCTGGCGTAATCACTGGCTTTTAAGGGCCTGACTCGGATTATTAATGACTCTGGTGCTGTTATTAAACCGCTCTGTCAACAGGAACTCTTTAAACCAACGCTGACACGTTTGAACACTTGACGAATAGACCTGATGAGCCTGAGCGGCCTCTGGGGGGCGGGGGATGCTCAAGCTACCAGTTTTCCCATTTGCCTCCCATTATCGTTCTGTTGGGTTGATAACCAACTCTGATGACACCCTTTGCTCAGCCGCTCTCCTTCCAGCTTCAGCTGCCACTAACCTCTCGCCTCTTCTCCCACTCTCTGCTGCGCTGAATTTCTTAAAAACCCTAAAGACGGCGCTCCTGGTAAAAGTGATGGTAAGACTCTTGTGTCTGTGTGCGTCCATGTTCGGAGGCGCAGGTGGTGTGTGTCGACTGTCCGACGTGTTTACATCTTTTCATCGTCTCTTTCTGTCTTTATCCTCCAAAGTAGTGGTCAGTTCCTCTGCATGAACTTTCTGCATGGATCTCCTCCTCTGACTCTAACTTGACTCTGTGACTTGCACAGAAATCAGGTCCTTCACACCGTGGGGCTATCTTTTGTTTTTCTAGGCCAACATGGGAGAGAACTGATGCATAACTGTGAGATGATCTGACGTACGGTACTGTTGATGTAGAGCAGAACAGGACTCCAGGTTATTTGAAACAAAGTCATCCTTACCAGTTAAGAACGTGAAGGACTTCTCTAATCCAGCTGCAGATCTCCAGTTCTGCAGAATCGATCGTCTACAGTGTGGTGAAGTCCATTAGGTTGTTTTGAGCGAGGGAAGTAAACCTGAACAAGGCAGTGAAGGCATCAGGAGCGACATCCTCTCCTGTCACGTCTGACAACGTAGGAAGAGATTTAGACCAGAAGCTCTTCATGGAGGAACAGACCCAGGACGCATAAATAAAGATGTTTTCATACGGGTGTTTCTCTTTACTGATCAGAAACTAAAATGAGCTGAACGGCTGAATGTGTTCTGTTGCATTTACAGCACTGTGTGAAATTTGTGATTCACTCCTCAAACGGCAACGACAAAACACTGATCTGAAAATAGTCGGAGATAAAAACGGAGTGAAACAGCAACTAAAGTTGTCAAATCTAGAAAATTTGATAAAATGATGTGAAGAACTTGAGCTTTTACACCCAGTAATACTTGGGCTCCGGCACAATTCTGATCCTGACATTCTTGTCATAAAGTAGTCCCTTGATTATCCCAGGGGTTACGTTACGGACACGCATATAAGTGAAAAACCACAAAGTAAGAACGCTATATTTATTTTAGTATTTATATACACAGTAGTACCTCGATACTTCACGGTTTGTTTATCGTGGACTCGCTCTATCGTGGTTGTTCAAAATAAGATTGGACATGACGCACAATTGGCTGATTGATGGATGAGCCGCACGATCGGCATGGAATTTTTATTCTAAATAAATTATTTAAAATTATGTAGCACCTGCTGCATACTTGTGCAGCCCATACTGCAGGATAAACTTCCTGCTGTAGCTGATCAGCTGTTCTCCTTAGAGAACGCAGAAGTGGGCGTGGCCAAGAGCACTTACAGGAGACAAAGAACAGAGGAGGCAGGAGCTGAAATCATGACATTCAGTGCTCTTAGAACATTTAGAGTTTAGAAACATTGTTTAGAATATTGCAAGAGTGTGGGAAGGGTTTAAAATGCCTTATACTGTGTGTGTGTGTGTGTGTATGTGTATATATAGATATCTATATACTAAAATAAACTACTGCTTACTACTTGTACTACTATTCCTACTTCACAGTTTTTCACTTATCACGGGGCTTCAGGGTACGGATACCCTGCGATAAATGTCGGACTATTGTATTAAGGCTTTATAAACCCTTCCCACACTCTTGCACTGTTCTAAACTCTCAAACCTACGTCATTTTAACAACATGCATAAATGTACTGTACAGTAGCTACTGCTAAATTTTATATGCGAACTCACCAGCCTTGGTCCGGTTCTGGTCGGGTTCTGATCGGCTCTCTGCAGCCGTTGAGCACCAGATGCTTTTATTGTATTGTATTTCTTAGTTCATATCTTAGATCTTATTACTGTTTTTCTTTACAGTTTATACCTGGATGTAACTGGGACACTGTGTACACAATTTCATTCCACCACTTGTACCACATGCGATGCGAATGACAATAAAGAACCTTGACCTTGACCTTTATGGGCTGACGAGCAGCACTCAGATTGACCGATGAGGCTGAAAGTAGTTCTGGTCCAGTTCTGATCAGCTCTCTGCATCCAATGAGCGCCAAAATCACTATAAATAAGGAACAAACATTTTAGTCAGGTTCAGATCGGATCAAAACTTTCCCTCCATTTTCATCAGAACGCAGTGGCCACAAGCACTGTTGGCTTCTGGGTAATGTAGTTCTTTTGGACTGGCGATACAGTGTAGGCTTATTAAAAGACACTACAAAATGGCGGCGACTGTTCTAAGTATTGTTTTAATTAACTTTTTATCTGTATCATCCCAATCACATGAGTAATATTAAAGTTGACAATTGTTGAAAAAACGCGAAGAGCGAGTCCACGAAAGTCGAACCTGTAAGTAGCGAGGGACTACTGTAATACAGATTACATTTTCCCTCAATACACCACATAAAATCCACAGTAACCTCCAGTAATTAGTGCTAAAACTATCTCTGGAGGAGTGGTGTAGTTTAACCCTTCTGATTCCCATCAAACTTATAACACACCACTGTCATTGTTTCCTTTCCACCTGAAGGAGACTTATTTTTAACTTGATAAGAATGTCTTTTGTTATCAACGTCCACATTTTCCAGGAGCTGTTCTTGATAGGTTGTGTAAGGACTGTAGGTGTTGGGTGATATGGCTTTGTCCTTCACTTATCATGAAGTCTTTCACTGGATCTGGTGCAACCTTTTTATGATCAGGCTCAAGCACTGAGAGCAGTAAAATTCTCATTTACCAAAATAAAATAAAATAAAACTCAATTTTGTTCCACCATATGCCCACATGTGGCGCGAACGACAAAGAAACTCTGACTCAGATAAAAAGCCAAGGACCATTTGAAATTTGTAGCATTTTTTACACAAATGGGTTTTTGCTTTTATTAAAAAATGTAGTAAAGGTCAAGTTGCATGTATGGGTGTGATGAGACGGTTCTTTGTCTTTCTGTAAAAACCTCCTTGGTCCTGTGTTGACTGTGAGACTCAGACAAGATCTCTTGTCTTGACCTTCTTTGTTGTGCATTTATTAACAACTAAAACTGAGAAAAAGTATTAAACAAGTTTTCTCAGCCCAATCTGAACTTGAAAGTTGGCAGCAATGGACTCGAATCTCACAAAATGTTAGATTTTAATGTTGTTACTGACTGTGGGAGTATTTTTCCTGTTTTGTTTCTATTTTTAAGAACTCTTTTTTTGCATTGCTTGCATCTAAATTTTAAGAAAGGACTTAAGACCTTTTTATTTAAAAGATTTATAGTGTTTAAATGTATTTTTAATCCTACTGTTTGTTAGTTTTTAAAAATGTTAGTCCATATTGTAGCATTTTGAGCTTGTAAAATGTAAAGTACAGTACAAATTGAATAAATTATTATTATTATTATCTATAGCTTTAGTTAATTAACACCTACCATAAATCTTGTCTTTTAGTTTGTAGCTTGGTGCTACCAGTTGATTACTTGGTAATGCGTCATTATTTTTTATAGCATTGTTAGCATTTGTAGCATTAGCTAACTGATACGTCAAAGCGGATTAGCTTGTAGCTTAGCGCTTCCTCTTTGTTTTTTGTTGTAAACTTTTTAATATTAACACTTTAATGCTTCCTCTCACACTATAAACAACTGTTTTGGTTGTTTCAGTTTTTAAATTCAATTGTTGAGAGTGGTCAACGTTTGGGACAAAAAAAAACACTTTTATCTTAAACATAACCTTTTAGCTAGTAGCTTAGCACGTGCCAATCCGAACAAGAAAGGCTTTAATCTTTAATTTAATTTAATTTTTTTAAGTTTTTTTATGGTTGAGATGTTTCAAAAAGGAGTATAATGTGAAGAAGTCATCCCAAGTTAAAATAAAATATTTTAAAATGTATTTTGGAGGTCTTTTTCAGACAACATGCTTCGTGCTGAACGAGCTTCTTAACGGCGGTTTTAAAATCTTCTTCATTGTTCCAGCTGCCAGCTCTGAACTGCACACACACGTGCACATTTACTATTTTGTTTGAGACATACTGTTTAAAAATAAAAACAGCTGAATTTATGTTTTTATCACCTTGTTTTGCAAAGTCAAAATATTTGGCCGATAAATGAAACGCAACATTTATTTTGTGATTAATTTTCAGTCTGCGTCTGAACTATGTTTTTCTTCTCCCCTGCAGTCTCACCCTTGTCTCAGGTTTCAAGTTCAAGTTAAATCTGTACTTGTCCCAAGTTTGTCCATGTCTGTGTTTTCAGAAGACTGTCCTCTCATCCAGGTCTCTCATGTGGATATATTATCTTTCCCAGCATCTCTGCTCAGTAAAAACTCTTCTTTTTTTATCGGTTAAGCGTATTTTAAAACCACTCTTTCCTTCGCCTCTCTTGGTTTGTTTTTTAGGTCGAGTTCGCACCCGGAGACCAAGCTCGGGCAGTGTGGGCGGAGCTAGTTCATCAGTCGTGGATAGCAGGGGACGTAGTCGAGCTAAAGTGGTCTCCCAGTCTCAGCGTACGTGCTCACACTTTCATAACGAGTTATGAAATAAAAATCGGAGTCTGAATCTTTTATTAGTGAAGCAATCTTCATGTTTCATGTTTTGTTGTTGTCCACTTTGACCCTGAAAACAAACCTCTTGTCTTTTATTGTTTGTCTCAAAACAATCAAACATTTCCTGTCACTTAAGTCTTGTTTTATTCGTGTGCCTCCATGCATGCGCAGTATTCCATAAATGTGTTTTACGATCTTTTAGTGATCACCAACATGTCCACTGACAACCAGAGTGCATGCTGGGTAAAAAATACAATCAGTAAACATGATTCGCATTCTCATTTTGACCGTTCTCGATCTCCACCTTGCCCCGCCTATTGCTTCCATCTTCCAGGATCCAGATCAGCCAATCCCAACAGTGGTAAGGCCTCAGCTTCATCCAGTCACAAGCTAGATGCCTCACTCCCTAAATATACCCTCCAATCACACCAAACTCTGCATGTCATCCTGTTTTTGTAGCTTTTTGTTAATCCAGCCTCTAGATTTTAGTTTGATCTTTCAGATTAATTTCCCCGTCAGTTTGAGAAGCTGATTGGATCCACATCTTTCTGGTGTTTTTGGTTTTTGTTGTTTTTGTGTCATCGTTGGTGTCACAGCACAGTTAGAACATGGCTGCATCCCCTCACCTCACCTGTCTCCACTTGTTCACCGGTTATATTTAGTAAAGAACAATCCGCTGTGGTTTCTCACAGGAGATTGGACTGCTCCGCCTTCGTCCAATGAAAGTTTTGCTTTTGTGTGTTTCTCTCCAATAGCTGGCAGTCGCTCCAGTTCTCCGGGCAAGCTGCTGGGTCAGAGCGGCTATGGTCGGATCCCCAGGGCCACGGCGTCCGTTTCCAGTACGCCGGCGGACAAACGCAGCAAAATCCCTCGCAGCCAAGGCTGCAGCCGGGAGACCAGCCCGAGCCGAATGGGCCTTGGTAAGACCAGGACTCTGGAGCCCAACACTCAACATCGTTTGCATTTAACAAAAAACAGCTTATTAGTATAAATCTTTACAGTCAAGGTAAAACTAAGTACACCAACATATGTTGTGATGCTTTAAGTGTCCGGACAGATGTCAGGACAGATGTCAGAACGATCTGATCCTCGTCAGGCATAAAATGAGATGAACATGTCCTCAGGTTTTATTTGAACCAAACCATTGAAATATCCTTGGTGCACCAACAGGTGGAGGTACAGTCCACTTTAACAACAGCTAAATACACAGACAGAAGTTCTGAAGTGGCTAAAGATTTTCTCAGAGCTCGTTTTTGTTATTTTTTTTATACGATTTTCTCTCGGTTACTAAACACGAGCAACGACCCATAGAAAACTGCCAAATTAGTAGCGACGTGGCTCAAAACCTCAGGATTAGTCTCTGCTATTTGCAGATGATGTGTTCCTGTTGACGTCATCGTGCCGTGATCTCCAGCTCTCTCTGGAGCAGTTCGCAGCTATGATGAGGATCAGAACCGCCAAAGCTGAGACTATGGTCCTCAGCTGGAAAAGGGAGGACTGTCCTCTCCGGGTTGGGGGTGAGGTTCTGCCACAAGTGGAGGAGTTTAAGTATCTCGGGGTTTGTTCATGATCAAGGGAAGAGTGGGACCAGATGGGTCGTACAGCTTCTGCAGTACTGTGGACTCTGTGCCGGTCCGCTGTGGTGAGGAGGGAGCTGAGCTGTAAGGAGAAGCTCTCTGTTTACCGCTCGGTCGACGTTCCTAACCTCACCTATGTTCAAGAACTCTGGGTAGAGACTGAAAGTACCCGATCCTGGATCCAGGAGGTCCAAATGAGTTCTCTCTGCAGGGCAGCTGGACATAAGGTGAGAAGTTCAGTTCTCCAGGAGAGACTCGGAGTAAAACCGCAGCTCCTCCACATCCAGAGGAGACCAGTGGGGTGGTTCATCTGGTAAAGATGCTCCCTGGACACCTTCTTAGGGAGGTGTTCTGGGAGGAGACCCCAGGGAAGATCCAGGACACTTTGGAGAGACTGTCTCCTTCAGCCTCTCTGGATGGATGATAGCTTAAAGATCAAGTCCATTTTTTGGAGCTGCCATCAAAAAGTTCTGATCTCAGACCCATAAAAATTTTTGGGCAGAGCTGAAAAGATGTGTGAGCAAGGTGGTCTCCAAACCTGATGGTTCCACCAGCTGGACAAAGTCCACCAAACTCTATAGCAAGAAGCTTGGAGGACATCCACAACGTTTGGTCCAAGTCATACAGTTTAAAGTCTACCGAGTACTGAAGACTGACAGAGATAAAATGGTTCAGTCTTTTTATAGTGTATGTAAACATCTGGTTTGATGTACAGACACTACAATTATGAAAAACAGCTGCAAGTTTTTTTTTCTCAGCAGTGACTAAACTCCACATTAACATGAGCCAATGTTGCAAAAAGCAGGTACACAAAAGAATAGGGACTCTGATCTGGTAAACGGGCCGTCCCTCGGTGTTCCTGGACATGTGTGCGTCATTGATCACCTCCATATATCACATCGACACGTGGACTGATCAGAGGAAGTGGACCTTCTGATAAAAACATAAACTGATGTTTCTCGTTGTCCTTTGAAACATCGCACAGCTCAGATTTCCTGTTCTGAACTCTGGGTCCTGAAGTGTGTAGATTATTAAATTTTTTGTTTGTTGGGTCACAGCTTGAAACGTTTATAAAGATTTTTTGTTTATTTAACGATTTATTTTGATAAATGGAGGATATTGTCTGGGATTCGTGTGTGTTATAGAGGAAAAAATAAACCCAAAAGTGCCTTATGTGTGGGTGTGTAATGTTTAGGCCTGTCACGATAACAAATTTTCCTGGGCTATTAATTGTCTCAGAAATTATTGCGATAAACGATAATATTGTTTGAAATTTGACAATAATTAGTAATTATTGTCAAATTCAAGAGGAAATGATGGTTAATTTGTTTTGTGTGTAGTACCTTTGTTTGACCACTGGATGGCAGTTTAAGACTGTTTGAAATGAAGGATGGATAGTGAGGAAGTGAGCAGCGTGTCTCTTTAAGAAAAATGGGAGGGAGGCCCCTTAACGTGACATGGGCTGTCTCTCTTCGGTTCACAAAATGGCGGATGCGAAGTGTGGTTTGAGCTCTTTAACATAGCATTTAGCAAAGCTTTAAATTAAAAATTCAGTAAATAAGTTCAGGGTTTTTTTTTTTTTCAGAGAAAACACGAAGGCACGGGTTTCAACCAGGAATTTTGGAGCTTCGACAAGACGTTCCCCC